GCACACAGACTCTTCCCCAAACAGCTCTTAGCCCCCCAGCCACCCAGAAGAAAAGACACCCTTTCCCCGGTTTTAACTGGGCCTGACCAGGAAATTTCACTCTGATCGGACAGTAGGTGGCAGCAGCAAACCCAGGAAGGGGTGGGTCAGGTGAGCTGCGGAAAAGCAAAGAGCGACTTTAACTGGGGTGACCCTATCCTTCGGGTGAAAAGGAGCCCAGAGGGTTCTCAGGCTGCCTGAGACGGGGGTTGAGGCTCGCCAAGGGTGGCCTGTGGGAGTGCTCTGCGTCTCTGGGCGCTGGAGGATCCAGTTTCTAGGAGTGGTATCTCCTCCTGGATGGAATCCCTTATGTTCAGGAAAAAGAAAAAGAAAAAAGAAAAAAAGCCTGGCCGGCAAATAAAGACATGAATGGAAGGTAGCCTTCCTAGCCGGAATGGGCTTTCCAATATCCGGCTGCTCTCTGGGGAGAACGGGGTTCTTGTCCCCCCGCGGGTTCAAGCTGGAATCTCCAAGACCGGAGCCCACAGACAGCTGAGCCCCGGTGCCTGGAAACCCGGGCGAGGGAGCTGCCGGCTGCTCCAAGCTCCAAAGAGGCTCCCGGTGCAGGGCGTCCTTCCAGGACAAGGGCATCCTGAATTCTCTCGTCTAAAACCTCAATTCTGAATCTTAAAGGTCTCATTATTCTCTTACCAAGCCCGTCTTGTCTTCTATGAGGTAAGCCATGATCTATATTTAGCAACCAATTCCAGCCAACTTCCATTTATTATTCAGTGTGCCTATTTTCTAAAGACATAACCCAATAAGATGCCCACAAAGTCACCAGAGAATATAAAGAAAATATTAGGGGCCAAGCCTGAGTGAGATGGGACAGGAATGTGGTGTGGAGGAGGGCAGAATTTTGCAAATGCGACTGTCTCGCTAGCTCTGTGATACCTTCCAGGTACAAAAAACAAACAAACAAAAAACAAAAAACAACCCACTCAGTGAAAACAAGGATTTGAGAACTTCCTCTGGGAGTCAAGGTTGTGAAGGGCAGGTTGACATTTACCCCCAGTAGAAGTGACCTTTCTCACAACAAGGGAGAATAAACCTGATCCTGGGGTGAAGTGGTGAGGGCTTCCTGCCCTCACATGACACCCCACAAAAGCATCGAGGTGTCCCCAAGCCCCATCCACAAGGTGCAGAATAAGCCAGCCTTGGCCAGGGCTCCTCCGGAGAGCTCTCTGGAAACGAACCGGGACAACTGAGCCTTTGGTGTGGTTTTGAGCCACACACGGCACCTAATGGCTCACCCTGCACCTTCGTTTTGGCTCCCAAAGGCCACAGGAGGGGCTGTGGAGGCTGCTCACCTCTCCTCCGTGGAGAAGACGAATTTCCTAAGCTTCAGGTCCCCCAACACGATGGCCGACTGGTGACAGTGGGCAACGGCAGAGACGATCTGCTTGAAGAGCCGGGAAGCCTCCTCTTCCCGCAGCCTCTTCCGGCTTCGCACGTAGGAGTGCATGTCCCCAAAGTCCTTCTCAAAGAACACGTACGCCTTGGTTTCCCCAAGGATCACTTCCACGATGCCGGTGATGTTTCTGTGCGACGGCAGCTGGATGTAAGGCCTGATTTTGTCCTGGTAGTGTTTTATGGGAAACACCTGCAGAGAGAAGTTGACCCACTTAGGAGGCAAAGAAAAAAAAAGCAGAGGCCACCTCCAAAATCCCAGGCTGGGCTGCAGTTCTCAATCCATCTTTGGGCTTTGGTTGACTGGAGGGCCCATTCATTTACCCCCCTTATCTCTCCTGCCCCACCTGAGGCAACCCCGGCTACTCCTAACACCTCAAACCAACAGCATCCAGGGCTCTGAGCTAGCAAATAGCCAACAGGTTACCATATGGAAGGTTTGGAAGGAAAGTTTTCTATATAAGTTCCCACCTTCCATGAGCCCATCAGCTCTGAGAGCTAAGCCCCCAAGCCCCGGCCCTCTGTGGTGCTTCCTTGTTGGCAGGCAATGCTGCACCAAGTGCCCCCCGGGACGTCCAGGAGCTGAAAAGCAGGCCCTAGAAATGCACAGCCTCCTGTAGGCCCAAGTGCTCAGCACAGAGAGAGCACGGACTGTGCAAGCAGCGACTGGAGAGCAGGCAGAGCTGTCATCAGTCAGAAGGAACAGATGACTCGGAGAGAGAAGACTGACAACGCAGCCTTAAGCAACCTGCCTGCATTACATACAGTCTGGCTCCAGCACAAGCAGCCTTGAGTGAAAATTCTCGCAGGCGGGATATGGGATCCTCTCCACAGTTTGTTTCATTTGTTTGTTTATCCCTCCCTCCCCCCCACTCCCACCTCCACCTGCACCCAGGAAATGAGTAGTATCTCCACCAAAAAGCTGGCTGGGCTCAGTAAGAGCCTTTTGTTTGGCTCAGTTACTCATATCCTAGGACTCAACTGGAAACGGTGACACACGGGCTGTCACCATCTGGATTCGGCTATTATCTGCTCAGAGGAACTGGAAGGGGTTGCACAACGGCCAGGCTCACCCCGCCTCTGAGGCCTGGCTGCTCTCGCAC